TGCTGAGAAGGGAGGAGATAAAGTTGCCAGCTTTAGGTATGGAAATTCCTGGAGATTTGAGGAGTGGAGCCCGGAGAGGGGGACCTCAGACAGGTACAGCGCCATAGACTCCACCCTCCAAACCAGCCATTTGCTCCTGGAGAACTATTGTTGCCAATCTTGTTGCCCAGCAGCCATCAAACCATTCTCTTCAACCCCCTGCTGTGCAGCTGATGGGACCTGGAGATATCCCGCTGTTACAATTGATCTCCAGATGACAGAGATCAGTTCCCCTGGAGAAAATGGCTGCTTTGGAGGGTAGACCCTATGACATTATACCTGCTGAGTCCTTCCGCCCCCGCCCCCCCAATGCTGCCCTCTACAGAATCCACCCCCCAAATCTCCAGGAGGTACTTTACCTCCTTCCAGCCTATGCATTCGTTACAAATCACATCTTTCTAGATCTCGTTGTATTGCTTTCACAACGGGCTTTACTGCTGGTCTCTCTATATAAAAGAAAGTCCCCTCACCATAAAATCAATGCCCAGGCCAAACCGCTGGACCTAGAAATACCAAATTCGGGGAGAGCATTCCTACCATGACATAGATGCTCACTAAGAAGGGATTTTTAGAAATTTGACCCCTAAGTGGGTCAAAAGGGGTAAAATGTGCTCCCCCCATTGATTCCTATGTGGCTGCCAGGCTGCTGCCTCCTTGCACCCCCACTCTCTGATTGGCCAGCTGCAGAGCTCAGTGTTCTGAGGTGAAAAAACTAGTTACAAGGGACTACAGAGAGCTAATGACAGTTGAGGAAATCAGGAGTGGCCCACTGCCTGTGAGGTGAAGCAAAGCTGCTGGTCCAACCTCCCTAGGGCTTCAAATATGTCTGTCAGGTGAAGCAGCAGTTGCAGGGTGCTTAAAGCCACGCGGGAGTTACCACCCCAGTAATGCCTTGGTGATCCTGCCAGCCCCACCTCCACAGTAGCTTCAGATACTCCTCCCCCTCCCCTTCCTACACTGGACAGGCAGCTGCCTGTCAGGTGTAGGAGAGGAGGTGGGATGCTTACAGCCACCGGGGAGGTTTAGCAGGATTGCCTTAGCCCTGCTGCTGGTTCAGCCTCCCTGATGCCTTTAAACATAATTGCCCCCAACACCAGACAGGTGGTGTCTGTCAGGTGTAGGAGCAGGACCAGGGTACTTTAATCCATCAGGGACACTGCCCCAGCAGGATCACCTTAGGGGTGATGCTGGCCCAGCCTCTCTGATGGCTTCCAACACACTACCCCCACCTCCTACACCTAACAGGCAGTTGTCTGTCAGGTGCAGCAGCGGTTGCAGGGTGCTTAAAGCCATGAGGGAGCCTGCCCCAGCAGTCTACAGAGAGGTCCTTCAGTAGAGAGAGAAAAAGTACGTATGTCTCACTTCATTTTTTACACTACAATTTTCTCCATTAGAATTCCTACAACGAATGTTACATTTCAAATTTTATATCATCAGTATTATAACTGGATTTATGGAAGTTAAATACCGTAGCAAAGCACGGGTATCAGGCTAGTTTTGTATAAAGGCTGCTTTTAATGTTACAGTATTTTTCTGTAATCACACATTTTTGTTATCAAAGAATGGTTCTTTTGC